CTGTGCGGGGCACAATATGGCCAGCAGCCTAGTTCCATGCCATTCACCTGTCCCATAGGTTCCAAAGTTTGAGCACCGCTCATCTACACAATCAATTAGTCTGACAAAATCTAAGTTGGGGGCCTGTTTTATTTGTTTGGGGTTTTTTAAACCACATTTCCACTTACCTCCCTAATAACCTCCCCTTCAAAATTTGTTCTAAAGCTTTGCAGCCTATTAAAGCAAAGGCACAGAAATGCTTGAAGCCCTTTCCAAAAGGGAATGTTTTGAGAGGGCAGCAGCTAGGTTTTAATTGTTGCAGGTGAATGAGCTGAGAATGTTCAAAGGCAGTATGCTTACTCCAGCATTAGCCCTGGATGAAGAAGCATTAAATCTAAAGTGGGTAATGTTGCATTTGGATCATTAAAAATATCGCTGCTATCTAACCTACTAATTTTATGTGCCAGTTCTTACAAAATTCTGGGATAAAGAATAACTAGTTCCCTCAACTTGAATTCATTAAGTGATAAGGTTTACTGTTGCCTCAGCTGTGATAATTTTCCTTCAGATAGCCTCATTCCCATTAACCATTCTTGCTTTGGCTCCCATAAATCACCACTGCTGACCTACTGGAAACTGAGGCAAATCATTCATGTTGGTATCTAAACTATAATTAGGTGATCTTAAAGTTTTACCTATGTAGGAGGAACTGAAGAGTTCAAATGCAAGTCTCTGCCTGGAAATTACCATGCATTAGAAGTTGCACTAAAAGTAACCTTAAAATATTTTCCCTTGTATTTTTCTACTAAACCAAAGAGTTCCCAGATGACCTGAGTGCATAATACAAATGTGAATGTTTTCTAATATATTGGAACAGAAATTAGGTTGAAATTTTCATAGAAGCCTAGAGGAGCTGGGCACCTAATGCCTATTTATTTTTAATTGGTTCTGGGCACAATTTCCTTAGGTTCCTTTTATCACAGCATTTGCTCCAACATAAAAATGTTCAACTTGCATCACATAAGGCACCATATCGAAGGATTGATAGTAGAGAGTGGACATGACTCTCGCTGGTGAAATATAATCGAGTGCGAACGTGACGTTCTGGAGACATAACACCTCTAGAGTACCTAAAATGAGAAAATCAGGAAAATCTTGGTCAGTGAATCATAAGGCATTTAGATGTGCCTACATTAGATATCATAGCAGACATTTTTTTAATTAGACACAGTTAAGTAATTAGTTTTACTGTTTAGATAGCATGTGTCTAAAAGCATTTCAAATATGCAAGTTATAAACATTTAATTTTAGTCAACAGAAATAACAAAACTTCACATATGTATGCAAAAAACATTAAAAACTTACAGAGGGTGGAGTTTGTTTACTGTATCGTCATCTTGAGTTCTCTGAAGGTCTGAACGAATTTTCCTAACTAGAGGAGTACAGTATCCTTTGGCAATCTCTAATTTTTCAGCATTGGAAATACCGTATTCCTAGACAGGAAGAAATTAATTTCTTGAAACCAAACTGTACAACACACAGAGAAGTCAACCTTCAATTGAAACCTTGCAAGTGAAAATAGCTAGCCACCTGCTACATTGTTGTGGTTGCAAACTGTGGTCTAAATGTACGACTGTGAACAACAATACTGTGTTAGGAATGGCTGAAGAGGTTTCCCTAAGTATTTTTCTTCTGCCAACAAGCTTGCTTATTAGGCCTGCGCGAAGCGGCTAGTATTTGTTTTGGATTCGGATTTGGCCGATTCGGGGGACAGTGATTCGATTTGGTGATTCGAATCACTGTCCCAAATCGA